ATAAGAAAGTCATTTTAAAAAAATGGACATCACTTATATCTGTGATTAGAAATGATGCGGCTTGAGCACTTACCTGAAAACAATTTTGGTTTTACAATAGTATCACTAAGAGGTACATATGGATATTTTGAAGTTATGAAAAGTTATATTTTGGAGGACATAAAATTTCAGAAAAGATGTTATAAATATACAAGAGGTATAATGAATAACAAACAATATAATTATATTTTCAAAATTATAATTAAATAAACATAGATTACAAATATTACAGAACTCAGTTACTTAATATAGACACCTTGAGAAGGTTTTTTTTTTAATCTTTGAGTTTCACGGCCAAAGTGTTAAATATTTTTATTACAATGCTGGCTTTTATGTGGAAAAATATGCCTGGTGTGTGTGTGTATAATTCTTACTTGGAATAAATTTACTGATGAAAAGAAAAGAAACTGAAAGTACCAGTGTAAAGACGATTCAGGCATGTAACATGTTAAAAGGTCACTCCTATAAATATACATTGTATTGATAAAAGAGATTTTATCTTTGTTACCAAATATGTTTTTGATAAAGGTATTAAGAGAAGTGAGGGCTCCAACAGGTGGCCCAGCCACCACTGTGTAAGTGAGGAAACTCTCTCCCCCTTGTGTTCAGTTTCTGTAATGACTCCCTGAGGAATAGAAAAAAACTTGGCTTTTCATGCACGAAAACCTCTCACACCCAGATCAAAATTACTTCAGTGGCTATGAACTTCCTAAGAGGAAGTTAGATAGCAAAACTGATAACCCAAACCTCTATCTATAAAGGTTTTTTTTTTTTTTATCCTCCCCAGCAGACATGTTCACTGATTTTTAGAGAGAGGAAAAGGGAGGATGAGAAACATGGATGTTAAGAAACAGCTTTAGCTGCCTCCCCTGCATACCTGGTCTGAGGACTGAACCCGCAACCTGCATATGTGCTCTGAGCGGGAATTGAACCCAAAACCGTTTGATTTACAGGATGACAATCCAACCAACTAAGCCACATTAGCCAGGGAAGATTTTCAAATATAGCTCACAAAAAATTATTGACAGAAAATACAAGCTGTGGCCATGTAGCTAGCTATATATTATCTATATACCTCTCTAACAACTCAGGAAAAAACAAACAAGCACACTAAATATCCCAGCAATTTACACCCCCAGAATTCACTCAAAATTTTCAGTGCCTCCTCCATACTGTCAACTCCCACATTAAGTCCAGACCACGTCGCTGAGCTCTGGACTTACACAGGCCCGTGGGTGACAGCACATGGGTGCCATGCCACCTGGGCATTTCCAGTTTAACAAGTCCTCCGCAGAACTCTTGATCCTGCTCTCCAAACATGCTCCTCCAAAATCCTGCTGGCTCTGCTTCCTAAATATTTCCAGAACTTGACTGCTTCTGTCAAACCACCAGGACCCCTGATCCAAGCCAACATCATCTCCGCTCGATTACTGCAATCAACTTCTAGCTGGCTTACCTGCTTCCACTCTTGCTATATATCCAACCACCACACCTTGGCCTTCACTTTCCGGATGGCAGCCTTACAATACCCTTTCAAAGCACAAGTCAGACACGGTCACATTCAAAACCCGATCCTTAACAACGGGCTCTTCCTGTACGGCCTGACGGAGGCTATTCCTTTCCCCCTTGGTATTGCTGCTCTAGCCGCACTGGCCTTCCTACTTACTACTCCTTGAAATCCTAAGAATCGGGCCTTGGTGTTTGAGGTTCCCTTTGCCTGGTGCACCCTCCCCTTAATGTGTACATGAGGTGACACTTCCCTTTGGTCCCCTGCAAAAGTCACTCCTGAGGAGGCATTCCTGACTATCCTATTGGAAACAGCACTTGCTGCTTTCCCTTTACGCTGACATTAGGTTATGAAAGTATCTGTTCCCTCATGTTATTACCGGTCTCTTCCACTAGCCCATCAGGGAAACAGTTTTTTGTTCGCTGCCTCACGTCCAAGGTGTTGAGCAGGGCCTGGCACAGAGTAGGTGATGCTCCAAACACACTGCTGAATGAACGAATGACTTCTTTGTTTTTCACTGACTTTTGCAAGAGAAAAAAGTTGGTATCTATTCACAATTACAGCTCAAGAGGGTCTGGTGCTGCTATGAAGCATTTGGACTGCCCGGGCGCAGCACACAAAGCATTGTGCTCAAAGCCTGTTAGGGATCCAGCGTCTGAGAGAGGTCTCCAAGTGCCCAGCGATAACGTCCTATATATGCAGGTCAGGCATAACAAAGGAAACAGATCCACCAGAGACTAAAGAGTGGCAAGAAATGACCGCAAGGGTGGAATGCAAATGCAGGCTCTGAGTTTTAACATATTGCTGGAGCAGCCTTTGTTTTCACTGAACCTATTTCTAGTAGACATTTTTCCATTATACATTTTTTTTAATGTCTCAACTTCTAGCAAGTGTTTTCTGGATATTGAACCTCTTTCTTGGTGCTAAGGTAAAGTAGTCTGATTTTTCTGACCTTGATCAACCCCAGATGATCCCACGTGAAGAGAAAAGAAGTTGAAAAAGATTTAATCTTAGAACCCCTTCTAGAAACAGTCGGTAAAAATACAGTAGGTTTCTGGCTTGTAATATTTTTCTTCTTAGGAGGTCATGCGGCCCAGTGCAAACAAAGCAGAACTGGAAATGAGAGGGACTTGGGATTATGCTCCCATTTCTGCGGTTGGTGTCACTGCGCACAGTTTACTAAGATAGTGCGGGCTTGTTTTCTCATCTTTGAAATGGACTCAGCAACATTCATATTATTAATACTTTAAAATTTTGCTGTCCAAAAATTAAAACACATTTAAAGGAAATACCGGGTCATTGGCAATAACAGGGGAAGTGGGTAAAAACAACCTGCCACAGTGGTTAACAGCAAGATCCGAAAGTGTTCATACCCTTGAAGGCTGAATGTCAGCACTTACTCTACTGCCCAGAGACCTGCAAGACCTTTTACTTTAAAAAGTTTTTTTCCCTATGAATTCAATTTCATAGTTACACCTTCAATATAGACTACAAAATGGTACTAATCTAGAGCTGGGGCCGTCCAATACGGTAGCCATGAGTCACATGGAGCTATTTGCACTTTAATGTGCTCAGTTGGATTGAGTTGTTCTGTATGGGTAAAAAATAGCCAGAGTTTAAAAGACTTAGTATGAAAACAGAATGTAAAATATCTTAATAATTTGTATATTTATTACATGTTGAAATGATAATAGGGTATACTGGATTAAATAAAATATATGACTGAAATTAATTTCACCTGCTTCCTTTAGCATTTACTAATGTGGCCATTTGAAAAATTTAAATTATGTATGTGGCTCATATTCTATTATATTAGATGTTTCTGGTCTAGATGATCAATCAGAACCAAAGAACTGACTAAGATTCTCTTTTAGAAAGCACTGTTTGCGTGTTCTATCCCTGAGAAGTGTTTCCACTTACTGCTCTGCTGCGTCACCACACGGATTTTCCAATGCCTCCCCTGGGGTGCGGCCCACGTGAGGGTCAACACGTGTGGCATGGGCAATGGTGGTCCCTTCAGAGGTACCTGGCTTTGGGGAAGGCAGAGTAACATCCCCGGCTCTGGAGCGCTAAGGGACTTCCCCGGGACAGAATCAGGAGGCAGGCTCGAGAACTGGCTTGCAGCTGCCGGTCTGAAGTCTGAGGCTCGGGCTCCCACGATCCCGATTCGGCTCTGCCAGGGACAGCGATGCTGCTTCCTGAAAAGGAGGGGCCTGCGCGCAGCGCTGCTGGCAGTCACGCAGCCGCCTGCGTGATTTTATCACGCTTGCTCCGAAGAGGGAACAACCCGGACCATGGGGTCCTAAAGTGCCAGACATTTACAAGTCTTCACATCTGGGGAACTTGTGCTTCGTGGAACAAGCTAGGTAGGACCCCAAGTAGAATCCTTGCCACACTTTTCTCTTTAACCCTCCCCATCAACAGTCTTAGGGGACTGAAAGTTTAACACTTAATCCTTCCCGTGACCTGCGAGATACTACTAATTCCACAGGTGCCAAAGTGAATAGCACTTCAGAGAGTAGCCTATTTCTAAAATAGTGTTTAGACAGTAGAAAATTATTAATTCTCTTCACTCTTAAATATCTTGTTCTTTCAGCACTTGTGGAGCAAAACCTTCATGGATTTCTGCTTGTTAGTGAGTGAAAAATCATTTTTTTAAAAATAAAGATTATCTATAGGATGTAAAATTTAGTTGCAGTATACAAATTATATTTTTAAACTTAACCCTAAGAAATTGCCCAAAAGTCCGCCACCCAATATTTATTCACAATACTTAGGTGAATGCCCGTTATATAAAAACTTATGTTTGTTCAACTTTTGATTCGTTTCAAAACTGGATGATTTGGTTTTTTAATAGCAGATCATTGTCCTGATCTCACAGTACAGAGCAGGTACAAATGGGCATTACATCTTGTCCAAGTACTTGTAACCCCAATTTAAACACTTTGCCAAATCTGACTTTTTAGGTTATTACCAACGCTGACCTATAGGACTAAAACTGCACTTACTTTGTAGGAAAATGGAAAAAAAATGGATAGAATGAACAATAATTGAAAGTACATCATTTGGGAAAAATAGTTATTGGGGAAACAGAACCCAGAACAGAATTAATAGAGTGCATGCTCCATGGGCTCACTTCTCAGTACAATATTAAATGACCAAGCATTCACTCCCCAATTGGATTTAATGGCAAACCATTTTCTAAATGACTTAGAGGCTCAATCTAGTAGGGGACTGAATGTAAGGGAAGTCACTGATACAGTTATAAAATATGCTTTAAATCATGTTGCATAAATAATAAAGAAAAAATTTTGGCCCTAGCTGGTGTGGCTCAGTGGATTGAGCGCCCACCTGCAAACCAAAAGGTTGCCAGTTCGATGCCCAGTGTAGGGCACAGGCCTGGGGTACAGGCCAGGTTCCCAACAGGGGGTGCACGAAATGCAACCACACATTGATGTTTCTCTCCCTCTCTCTCCCTCTCTTCCCCTCTCTAAAAATGAACAAATAAAATCTTAAAGAAAAGAAAAAAATTGGTTTCAAAGTTCAAAACAAAAATTACCTTTAAGTTTCACCCTCAAGGCTAAGATGGGAAAGCGGGAAACGCCCTCTGCCCACCAGCACTCAGTCCGATGATCTGCTCTAAGGTCTCGTCGCTGTGACCAGCACACACTGATTGGGCAGAGGCGGTTTGTCCTGTCCGAGGTTTTCAGCCTGTTTCCCACCACAGAAATGAAGCTGCTGTTCACAACCAGCAGGCCATTCTGGCCATTCTTGGCACAGCGGCAGGTAATCCCATCACATTCTCTCCCACACTCAAGTAAGCACTGCAAAGTGAGAAAGATATTACTCACCTGTTCTAAGCCCGCAGAGAAAGTGTAACAACACTCACAAACATAAGGACCATTATGACTAGCTATTTGCAAGAACCCTCACAAATGGCTATGTCAGGTAAAACTAGCAATTGCAAGGCAACCCCCATCACTACGAACACCAGCAAAGGTTGGTGTAGTCCAAGTACCACTCTTACTTTCACTTGGAGATATTCTAGAAAGGAGGTCCATTTTAAGCTGCTGAAATTGGAAACAAGTAGTTGCATCTTTCAGGTAGAAACTGACAATAAGCAGAGAAAAATTGGGTGTAAGGCAGCCCAGTGGGTAAAGAAAGTTCACAGAATGGATATGAATGGGGAAGGTGACCTGGTGGGTCTAACAGAGGGGGATGATTCAGTTTTCTTTTGAAAAACTGAAGCAGGACTTCCAGTCAAGATGGAGGCGTAGGTAGACACACTTCGCCTCCTCTCTCAACCACAGAGAGAATTACAACCATTTCTCAAAACAAGTAACAACCAGAACCATGAGAAAACCAAGATGTATGGAAGTCTGACAACCAAGGATTTAAAGAAGCCACATTCATCCAGACAGGTAGGAGGGATGGAATCGCCGAGCTGGGCAGGAAGGGGCAGAGGCGCAGCACGGCACTGGGAGGCAGAGGCAGTGACAGTGCAACGGGCAGTCCGCCTTCACGTGTGGTGGATAAACATTGGGAGATACCTTGCAAGCAAGCAAACCCAGCCCCAGAACACACGGCACAGCTCAGGGTTCCAGCGCTAGAAAGATAAATCCCCGTAACTTCTGGCTGTAAAAACCAGTGAAGTTTGGGGTGGTAGAAAAAACTGCCAGATTTTCAGAAGAGTTCATTTAAAGGGCCCACACAAACTTAGAATGTACCCAAACCCACCCACTCTGGGAGTCACCACCAGGGTAACAGCTGGAAGGGTGCCAGTCGCATATAGAAGGGGCTGAATGACTGGAAACAGGGAGTGCTGGGCAAACCTCCAGAAGCCAGGCAGCAGCATTGTCCCCTCTCCAAGCCCTGCCCCCACACAGAGCCACAAAGTGGTGAAGCAGGTTGCCCTGCCCTGGTGATTACCTAAGCTCCACCCCACACAATTTACAAGTGCATTTTAAAGGGAGTCAAAGCAGCTCTACCTAAAACACAGAAGCAAAGGGAGGATGCCAAATTGAGGAGACAAAGAAATATGGCCCAAATGGAAGAACAGATCAAAACCCAAGGAAAAGAACTAAATGAAACAGAGATAACCAATCTATCAGATGCAGAGTTCAAACACTGGTGATCAGGATGCTCAAATAACTCACTGAGTATGGAAAAAGCATAAGGGCAGAAATGAAGTTTACACTAAGTGAAATAAAGAAAAATCTATAGGGAACCAACAGTGGATGGAGGAAGTGGAGAATCAAACCAATGATTTGGAACACAAGAAAGGAAAAAGCATTCAGTCAGAACAGCAGGAAGAAAAAAGAATTCAAGAAAAACAAGGACAGCCTTAGGAACCTCTAGGACAACTTTAAATGCACCAACATCTGAATCATAGGGGTGCCAGAAGGAGAAGAGGAAGAGCAAGAAATTGAAAATTCATTGAAAAAAATAATGAAAGAAAATATCCCCAATTTGGTGAAGGAAACAGACATACAGGAAGCACAAAGAGTCCCAAACAAGTTGGATCTAAGAGGATCACACCAAGACACATAATTAAAATGCCAAAGATTAAAGATGAAGAGAATCTTTAAAGCAGCAAGAGAAAGGCAGAGAGTTATCTACAAAGGAGTTCCCATAAGACTATCAGTTGATTTCTCAAAAGAAACTCTGCAGGCAAGAAGGGACTGGCAAGGAGTATTCAAAATGATGAAAAGCAAGGACCTACAACCTTGATTTATCTATCCAGCAAAGCTATCATTTAGAATGAAAGGGCAGATAAAGTGCATCCCAGACAAAATAAAGCTAAAGGAGTTCACCACCACCAAACCATTATTACATGAAATGTTAAGGGACATATTTAAGAAAAAGAAAATCAAAACTATGAACATTAAAAGGGCAACAAATTCACAACTATCAACAACTGAATCTAAAAAAACAAACTAAGCAAACAACCAGAAAAGGAACAGAATCATAGATATGGAGATCATTTGGAGAGTTATCAGCTGGGAGGGGGAAGGGAGGGAATGAGGGAAAAGGTTCAGGGATTAAGAAGCATAATTGGTAAATACAAAATAGACAGGGGGAAGTCAAGAATAGTATAGGAAGTAGAGAAGCCAAAGAACTTATATGCATGACCCATGGACATGAACTAAAGGGGGGATTGCTGGAGGGAAGCGGGTACTGGGCAGAGGGGGGCAAAAGGGGAAAAAAATTGAGACAACTGTAATAGCACCATCAATAAAATATATTCTTTAAAAGAGTAAAATTGAAGCAAATCACCCTCTGGAAATTAGGGTCCTTGAAAATCCTTTCTTGGGACATATACAGCTATTTACACTATTTGTTTACTTACTAGTTACTGAGGGTCCTGGCTTTCACAGAAGACATGAACATATTTCAAGAATAGAAATGTGCTTGCTGACACAGACCAGGCCACAAAGATGAAAGAGTCTAGAGTTTTAATCATTGAAAATGAGCTTCATTTCAAGTTCAAGTGCTTTAAAGGTGCTTCTGTTACTTTGATACAGGGCAGAATCAGTAAACAGTTTATTCCAATGAAGTACTCAATCCAAAAGAAAGCATAATGTGCAAGTGTTTATTTTAGTTACACCTATATGAAGGTTCTTATTTTTGGGCAACAGCAAGGCATTTTATTATCCACTCTTTCCACTCCTTAAAGTCTTCCACAGGTTTTGGCAAATTCACATTATCCTCACGACTATGTTTTGGAGTGACCCGAGGTGTGTCAGTGGATTCATCATCAATCCACCTCACCAGCGCCTTGGAAAGAAGAAAAGAGATTAATATCTTAACAAAACACAGCTAAATAGTTTAGGCAAAAGGAAAACACTGGCTTCTAAACCAGGCTTTTAAATCAGTGACTTAGATTACCCCAGGAAGATGATCCATTTGATAAAGATGGATATGAACATGAAAAAAACCACTTATGCGGACATACTGAGTAAAAGAATATATGTCAAAAATATGCAAACTATAATTATAAATTACAGTCATAAAAAACTATAAATTATAAATTTTTTCTAAAAAGAAATACACTAATCCTTAGTTTTTTAGGGTTGGAAAATAATTTTCTTTTCTCAACTTGCTAAATGTTCCACAAGGCACTGTACTGTGCTTTTTATTTGATGTGAATGTGTTTGCACACGTAAGTATACACACAATTAAGGGAGGACATATGTATATGAAGATACATTAGACACGTACTGCAGTCGCCTGAATGATTGGTTGTGCCCATGAGCAGTTAATTGATGTATACTGATGTTTGTGGGCACACACATTCACACACACTGGGATTATGTTTTTGCCTCTTCCTTAAAATCATCTTTTCCTCCTAATGAATATCATACTTCAGTCCCACATTTGGTAAGGTAAACCACCTCCACATATTTATAGAGTTTTTGAACTTTGCCACACATATCAATATTTATTGTTTTGAACATTCAGACTCTCCTGCCTTAAATGAATGGCAAATACAGAAACCTCTTCCACCATTTCTCATTGCACTACAAGTGTAAGGCACTCAGAGGCAAGTCAAAGTTTTGGAGGATATTTGTTTTTTTCTTTTTTAAACCACAGTTTCCTGCTTATCTTTGCACTAATTTCCTCTGATAAATGACAACTCCAGAGAGGGGCCTAATAGATTATGTACTTTGCTACCTATATAACCACTTCCCCTTTTTGACTGCACCACCGCAAATTACCTTGTATCTTTCTATAATGTTGAAGCCAATAGCACACTGCAACTTGCGTAAACAGATAGGGCACAGATGTAGGGGGCGCCGGTCAGCTTCTTCCAAGTGGTTGGAACCTTGCATTAGGCATGCCAGCCACTGGCAGTGTCGAAGTCCAAATATGTGTCCAATCTCATGGGTTAAAGTCTGCAAGACATTCACATTGAAGATTTATAGTGCCACTATTATTAACAATGAGTCATATACCCCTTCTTTTTCTTACTTTTCCAAGAAACAAATTTATAGGAATCAACTCCCTTATAGTCATCACCAATACTGTCTGCCCAAAGACTTAACCCTTCATTTCCTTAAATGTCTTACTCCTTTCCTCACTATATTTAACCACTTAATTACCTGTGGACCAGGGTTTCTCAGTCCTGACACCCACTGATACTTTGCGATCATTCCTTTGAAGGAAGGAGGCTATCCTGACTCTGTAGGATGCTTGGTAGCTTCCCTTGCTTCTACTTACTAGATGCCAGTAGCATCCATTCCTGTGACAACCAGAAATGTCTCCCCATATTGCCAAATGATCTCTGGGTGAACTGCTGCTGGGTGAAAGCCACTGCTCTAGAGTAGTGAAACACTTCTAACCATTTAAATTCTGGAGCCCTTCCCCCAAGATGCAGTATCAGTAGGTCTGGGAGGAGAGGCTTCACCTGAATATTAACAAGCATATGGAGTGATGCTGATGCAGGGAACGTACATTGAAAACAACTCTATGAGTTGTAGTTCTCAAACCCCACAGACAGTACTGGTGAAAAGAAAAGCCTATGTCCTTGGCTGTGGGAAATGGATAAAATGAGAAAGCCTTTCTAAAAAGCAGTGGTGGAGTCAATATCAGGAACTGTCAGTAGAACCAACTATAGTAGAAGGCAACCTGGAGACCAAGAGAAAGGCCATCCTCCTTGAGAGGCTAGGGAACAAAGGTCCTCCAGGCCCCTGGAAAGTAGGTTTCCTTGATGACCACAGCAGCCTGGAAGGGTAGGTTACCCACTCATACCAGAATTCTGGAATTAATCTAATGGTGAGGAGGTGGGTACAGCCAAGTCTGTGTGTAACTAACAGGACAAAAAACTGGCACGGGTACTATAAATTTCGATATTAAGGTATCCATTTAAATTGTTTTTATTGATAATTTCAGTCAAACAACAGCCACCAACAGTATAAAAATGATACAAACTCATTTATAACATTACCTTAAGGAATGTTGATGTAAAATTGAGAAGAATGAGAATTAAGATCTCTTGAAATAGAGTCCTGCTGGATCGTATAAACAACTCACCTTACAGGACCGAAGCAGCAAAACACTAGTCACTGCAGGAGTATAATAGTTATCAAAAACCGAATAGTCACTGGAAGATTTTCTCTGAAACGCCTTCACTTTGCCTGCATAGCTTGAGCTGTAGAAATCACTGCCATACCTGGCAAAGCTGAATATCCCCACACCTACAAAGAAAAGGACAAGCAACAGAGGATTGAGAGTAAGATGCCTGAAGGAAAGCCCAAAACACAGCCTGCTAGGGCATCCGGTCCGGGAGTGCACAGCCGTACTCCCGTGTGCAGAGTCCAATATGCTTAAGGCTCACCACGACAAAGGAAGAGTTTGCTCCAGGTTCCCTATCAAAACCTCCTTCTTCTACCCAATTTGCCCTGCCCTGTAAAACTCACTCGTCTTGAGGTCAAATTCTTGACAAACTAGAAGCTCCAGAGGGTTTTGTTTGCCCACAACAGAAGTCTTTTTCTCAAAGGATAGTCCAAATCGAGCACTCCAGGAGGAATAATGACAAGGACCACATGAACACCCGCCCTCATGATTTTTCTCTTTCAGAACACAACAAACAGATCTCTGCGGCCTGTGTCAGTGAGGGTGCCTGTACTTGCCGCGTGCCATGCTACTGAGGAAAGGGGCCCTGCCACTGCCCCCGATGCTTTGGAGACCGTGTTTTGGACCAAGCCTCTAGAGAGGACAGACCCTCTTCCCCTCCTTCCCCTTTTGAAGCCCAGCACAACTCTTCCTGTGTGGCTGGGGTCGGGTGGCCAGAATAAACCTTCTTGTGACTGACTTCCTGTGTTAGGTCTTAGGCTTGTCCAAACCATCTTCACACGCACGGAGGGCAGAGATTTTCAACTCTCTCTAAATGATTTTCAACTCATTCTAAAGGGGATGGCTTTATAACTTGATTTGTTTACATTATCACTTTTATTTATGTGTCTTTTCCAGTTGTTTATGGAAAGTCCTAAGGATTTTTTTGTTACGGAAATGATTTCATAGTAAGGTTGTCCAATCCCACTCAATCCAAAAAGAATGCTCCTCACCCCACTCTAGGAAAATGTCCACTGGTATTTGAAATTTAGGAAGAGAAAGCATTCTGCAAGAAAAAAGGGAATCTACTCATGCGTCACAAGTAACCTCTTCTGGCCACGAAGTGTGTACATATTTCAGTACAATACGTTTAGTAAGAACCATTTTTCCTAAATAAATGAAAAAAATAAAAGATTATTTTCTTTATAATTAAATATTTCTCAATTTAAAAACACAAATCTCTGTAAAGTTGGAGAGAATAAAGTCACTTATAAGATACTGTGTCACTGCTTAGCAGATCAATGCTGCTAGCTTACTACTACTTCTCATGTACGATGCAATATTTAAGGAACTTAAACAAGTTAAAGTAGAAACATTTTGGAGAATGCTTCCTGACCTCCTCAAATGCACATGATAAATTAACTAGCAATATCTACATAAATAGTTTAATTTCTTAAAATGTTTCCATCTCTACCACGTTAAAAATAAAAGGAAAGATGAAAATTTAGCTCATACAAATTTATTTTTGATAGAAAGTTAGCTCATACAGAACTCAGGAAGACAGCAGTGACCTAAGTCTCTAAGAGAATGTATTGATAGCGTCATGGGGAGGTTGGGGAGCTTATAAGAATGTAATAGAGAATTGAGGATGAAGGGGTACTGCCCGGAGCCCCTGCCTATGATGAATGTGTAAGACAAAGAGATACCTAATAGAAACATTTGTCAGAGAGAAGCTAAGTTTTCATCCAGACAGTAACTTGGAACTCATACATTACAGTCCCTGGTACTTACTCACCGTCCTCAGGACACTAATGGACGCCCCTTACTTCCCTGGACTTTTCCCCTTCAAATGGGTCTCAGACCCTGGGGATAAAGGGTAGAGAAATAAGAGCAAAAATGGACATGTGGGAGAACAGAGGTGAAGACAAAAAGAAAATAAAATAGGCAAAAATATGATTTTCTTCTGGATCCTTTCCCACCACCAACATGACCATTCGGGGTTTCTACTTAGTCAAAGCTCATTATATCGCAAAACAAAAATTGAAGTTCACTTTTTAAAATAAAATAAGATATAGGTTAAGCATACACTTATAAAGCAGTCTGTGAGTAATCCATCTGTGCAAGATGACTACAAAACCAATTAAAAAAGCAATTAGCAAAATTTCACTTACATTAATTACAGTTCTAATATCTTCTATTTATTTAATTTAGCTTGTTACCAAAGTACTTACATTTCCCATATGCTGCTCTGAATGCCTGTATATGTGCCAGGCATATATACACTTTTTATATATCAGCACTTCTATGTAAATTATCTCAAAATGACCTTGTGAAACAGGTATTATTAGCTTCAAAGTCATATAGGTAGTGAAAGGCTGACCTGGGGAAGAACCCAGATCATCGGAATCTATCAACAACACACCTCCCAACACAGCATGATACTGCACCAGAAATATATAGTTTTAAGTATCAGATTATAATTGGTTGGAATTTTCCCCCTCTTTCAACATCTTCAAATAGTCTCAAGTTGAGAGAGTTTCTATAAACAATGTCAAAAAGGAATACCATCTGTCAAAGAGGCCTGTCCAAAGACAAAATTCCAGGAGTCTCTCGGGTAAAGATCAATCATTGTTATTCCTACAACACAGAAGGCGTCTTCAGGTTTCTTCTTTTTTAAGAACTTCAGGATGTGCCCTATTCAAAAAGATATGTACATGTGTTATAAATACATCTCCACATCTTTCACTCAATTAAAATTGTAAAGTTGTTTAATTCACCTGCATGTATTTGTAGGTTTTGTGTGTTATCATTGACTCTAAAGGAACACTTTGTTGCAGAGACAGGAACCGGTTCTAGGAATTTTACTGTCAAGCCATAGAAAAATGCTTCACAGTAGCCCTTGAGCCATTTAATATACTCTTCACTGATACTTCTGGTGTTTCCTAGAGATCCTATAATATGGAAGAAAATTTAAAGACATACTTTAGGATGATTAAAATACTGAGTTTTTACCGCAGCCTATACTTACAAATTTAGAATTAGAAACAACCCAACTTTAAATTTTCAAAACACTTCTATCATTCGTTAATGTGAACATGAATTAGAAACAAAATATCCTCTTTTAAGATAGTTTGGCTACAAAATTTGCACCATTAGATGAGATCAACTGCCCAAACTATCCCTGGCAACAGCACTACTGCGCAAGCAAACCAAATCCAGCATATTACAATATGTACCAATGCACTGTATATAAATGCTGTGTTTCTCTGCAGAGGGTGTCTTTCTGGAAGGATTATTGAAAAACTCTTCAAAGTCTTGGGGAGGCTCAGGATGAGAGGTGATCCAATCTGATTGAGAATGCAAGGTAATGGGTCCAAAGAGATTACTGGCTGGTTGGAAGGCTTCATTCATCAAACGCCTCTCTGCAGCATCAAACTTCTCATACTGGGACACAAGCACTGGGTTCTTTGAGATGAGAGCCGCCCTAAGTGTCTGTTCCGAGTGCCGTATTGTTTGCATCTACCAAGAAAACAGTTAGTCAAGTATAAAACGTACATCCATGCTGGAGACTTTTAATCTACCTATCCACCACGTGCATCTCTAATTTCTCCCGAAATGGAATGACTGTTTATGCTTTAGAGGGGTCACATCAAACTACTGATTGCTTTCCCCGTTTCGAATCAATTTCTTGGGGAAGGTATCTGAAAAAGTGAAAAGAAAATCATGAAATTTTCTTTTGGCACCTGATCCCATTATAAAAAACTAGTGGTAACCCATAAAGGCATGACCTGATTTCCAATTTCCTTTTGTCATTTGGGTAATAATAGGGATACTGTGAATTGACTCAGGAAAGAAGGCCACATGAGAAACAGTCATCCTTCCCAATGTGACTCAAAAGATGTCCAAGACCAAAGAGAGAACTGATACAAGAACAGCTGGTTCTGTAACGTAACCGCGGGCTGATGACGGATTTCAGCCACTGAAGTTGAGCATCTGCGGGTCACCTCACCCTGGGGAGGACATCGGTGACTAACCAAAAGCCAGACTCACAATGGCAGGTCCCTTCCATTCACGTCCTGCTTTTAGGGAGAGCGTCCGTCCTCCTGGCGTCTGAATGGGTCAAACAGCTGTTCCATCACGAGGCTTTTCAAGGTGGAAAAGGGAAAATTGGGCATTTGCCTGGAACCTACCCTATTTTCTAATTGTCTAGATTTGTCCAGCTTACGGATACCTCTTTGATGGGAACATTTAAGCTAATGGCTGTTCTGACTGCATCTCCGAATCCTGGGGGTGCAGAGCGTGCGAGAAATTCCAAAACTGAGGTCTCTACGGTCGGGGCTCTGATCCCAGCACAGACTCATCCTCACTGCCCCGCAGCCGCGCTGAACTCCGACTTCGACCGCACAAAATGCCGAGCCAGCGGCGCCCTCCTCTCGTCGTCCCACCTTTAGGAAGGGAGACTCCCGCCGGAGTCTTTACCTCGCAAGGACAGGCATCTCAGGGCCTGCTCGGGAGGGTGTTAGGAGGGGCGCCTTCGCCCCAATATTAAAAAGAATCGCGTTTAAAATGCCTAATTGGAAGAAGTCTCCCGGGTCAACTCTGGGTGGAGCGTCAAGAGCAGAACAGGGCCACCTCCGTGGGCTGCGGGTCTGCAATCCCGTCAGCGCTAAAAGCTGCACATCCCGGGCAGCCGGGACAAGTCGGTCACCGCAGCTGGTGGCCTCGAGCACCTGGCATCTGGGGCTCGCCCGTGCGGGCGCGACCCGCTCCCCGACCGGGGACGGAGTGGGGGATGTCCCCGGGACTCCCGCTTCGTCTCCTCTCCCTGAGGCGCCTCCTCTCGGGCCCGGCCTTCCTCCCCGGAGACACCTCCGCGCCCGCTGTCCTCCCAGCTTCCGCTGAGGCTGCCCCTCCCACAGCCTCACCCCTTAACACCACTAGCGACCGGGATGGTCGCCCTCTACAACCCGGCAGCGCAGCCCAGGAAGCCGGCCCGGCTATGACGTATACACAGAACTACCTTCACCACTCCAGGATTTGACGACACCGGAACGCCGGCCTACTGTGGCAGCCCTGCGCGCCTGCGCCTAGCGGCCGGCGCTTTGCCACGCCCCCACGCCCCTTCCAGCAACGTCACGCCCCACCACGCCCAGTCCCTTTCAGCGCGCCACGCCCTTGTCACGCCCCTAAGCGTTCTCCGGTCTGTCCCGTACGGAGTCTGAATTCTAGCGCCAGGCGCTGCCCTGGTGTCCCAGAGCTGAAGAGGGTCGCCAGGGGGCGATGAGGCGCCGCAACCAGCTCCCGCCTTTTTTCCTCTGGCCCTCGCGGGGGCGCCACTACTACTCTCTCCAGGGCTGCCCTTGGGTCGCTGGACCAAGGGGAAGCTGGAGGCGAGGCGACCTTCGCCAGAGGCTGCGTCAGGAGGCAGTGGTTCCCCTGGGGGCAGCACTGGCGTCGCCAGCTTTGCATGATTGTGAATGTGCTCGATGAGCCGTGGGTTTGAAAAGTGACTAATTTAACAAGCCCGGTCCAAATATAAGTCAGCCGCGGCCAGAGGCTGACGCACAGCCTCAACGCGCGCTCCCTGGTGCCGTCACCCACTGTACTTTCCGTCCTTTATTTGGCTGCTGCTTTATTTGGTTGCAGCGACTGCAACGGCCGGCCGGGGCGCGAGGAAGCGCCAACCACAAACGCTCTGTGCAGGTGCAGCGCGCGCGGAGTCGCGGGCAGCACAGAGGCGGTGTCCCGGCCAACAGCCGCCGGCTGGGCTGGGTTCCTCCACCCACGACGTGCGTCTCTTGGTGTCGCACTGCGTCTGCCAGAGCGAGGCTGTGAAGTAGAACAGGTCCCTAGCGGATATCAGGACTGAAGAAGCTCCGTGGCCTAGGGTAGGCCTCTTAACTCTTTCCGGCCCTTGCGATTCGCACGTGGATGGGAGCCGATAGGGGAGAGCTCTCATCCCGAAGGTCCCCTTCAGCCTTGGGAAGCTGATTGTATGAAAGCAGAGGATCCCCTGACCCACCCGTCTACCGCCCCCTCGTGCATCCCAGTACCCATCAGACTTTAGGACATGGTGGATGGTTAGGCTGTCTAACGCCACTCAGTATTGCCGAGGACAAATCGAGACCTAATGAGCAACCCCTCTCCCTCCCAGCCGACCTCCGAACCAGTCCACCCTCCCGCACACCCTCCTTCCTCTCCAATGCATTTCGTTCTCTTCCAGTTCTGTCCCAAGCCCTCCACTCAGGTCCCCCTGGCAACTTCTCGCAAAGGAACACCGCCAAGCCCTATTCCATCATAAACCTGCTCCGCAAACCTCCACCTTTCCCCACAGATCTTCACCTTAAGGGACACCCAACCTTCCTCCCTGGTCGTCACTTCTTCCCTCTCAACCTTCACTCAAGTGTGTTCCTAAGCCCTGTTTTTCATTTCCAAGCCATTGTCCTACTACTGCACAGTAACATCTATTCTTTTGAAGTTCAGGACATTTTACCATAATCTGGTGTTTCTTCATCCAAATCCCTCTTCCCAAGCTCCAAAAAGGAAACACACGCACTCTTTCTTTTTCTTAATGGCCTCTGCACTTGTCTAATTGTTATCTTCTCCACCCTTAACCACTCGTTGACTCCCCTTAGAGGATCTTTACTACTTAAATGTTTGATATTTGAAACTCCATTGATGGTCTCAGCCTCTCACTTGTTCATCCTCCTGGATCTTGAGATCTCAACATTCATTCTTTGAACACAGTGTTCATATCCACCCTTATCCAAATCCATTCTTCCATGAAAGTGCATTCCTACCATGCCTGTTCTCAAACTTTCAAACTGAGGGCCCTGATGCATCAGTCTTGCCATGCCTGAGAAGAAGTGGGCTTTTTGGGATGTCGTGTCTTTTGATTGAATGCATATCCCCAGATGCCTCAAGAGTCAGTGTAGCACAGCGGCTCAGACGATGGTCTGTGCGTGAACCCTAGAAGCTCCACTTGTTAACGTGTGACCTGCATCGGTTATTTAACCTCTTATGAATCTCTTCCCTGGTTTGTACAACATAAATAATAATGCCAACCTTACCGAGTTTTAGGGATCAAATGAATAACTTTGGACTCTGCCTTTTGGTTGAATGGCCTGACATCCTGTGAGGCTTCTTTAGCTTAGTTATTACCTCTGGTAAAGCTCTCCCTAACCCAGCCTCACTCAAGACAAATCTCCGTTCTCTGCAAGGTTCATTGGCTTGTGCATATCTGCTTTCATTGTCCTTATCACAATGAGTGTAATCTAGTTCTTAAAATGTCTCTCTCTCTAGACTGGGAGATGCTTGAGGGTAAAGACTTTCACTCAGTGGGTCTGGAATGTAAAAGGCATTCATTAGATTTTCATTTGATTAATTGTATTCATTATCAGAAATCCTTTATTTTGCATTTAAACTGCTTAAATCCATTTCTTTTTGCATAAACTTTGTGGTTGCTTAAAAATCTTAGAAGGATACCATATTTCTGCATAAAGTATTTAATACTTTTTAAAATAGTGCTGTGTGTTCTTTTAAGATTTTGTTTGTTCGTTTTTAGAATAAAAAGACTTCCATTATCAAGGTGCCAGGATAATAGGTGGTTTGGAGAAAAGATATACAAAATCAGGGGAACAGGTAAGGGCCCTCAATGGCTGAATTGAGGATAGGATTGTGAATTGTAACTAAGATTTTTTTTCCCATTAACTAATATGCAGTTGCAGAATGAACTGCAAACTATCTTCATTTCTAATATCACTATAGGTTCTGGTTTTTAGAAATGTATGTATATGCTAGTTGTCCAGGGTTAAAAAAAGAAAACTTGTAACAAAATTAGACGGCTATAGAAAGCAGGAGAGAAATTATATATACATACATAATACATATATAATATATACATATAAATTACATATGTAATATATATTGGCAGATGAAGGATTTTTAAATGGTTTTATATATCAATAGGGAAGAGCAAAGAACATAAAAGTAAAATGAGCAAAGGGTATAAACAGATAATTTGAATGATTCATTAGCATGTGTTCAATTTTACTAATAATTAAAATTAAAGTCATCTAATACTTTTTCTTACCCATTAAATTGATGAAACTGTTTATTTTGAAATAAGCTTACAGAAAAGTGGCAAAAAGAGTATAAACAAGTACTGTCCGTATATGATTTTCACTCAGATTCCCCAACTGTTAACATTTTACCTCATTTGCTTTCGCTTTCTCCCTTCTTCTCTCTCCATACACACATATATTTCCCCCTAATCTGCTTGAGAGTAAGTTATAGATATGATATCCCTTCACTCCTAAATACTTTAGTGTATATTTTCTGAAACCCAGTACATTTTCATAAATAACCACAGTACAAGGGAAACATATCATATAAACTCATGTTTTAATGGTGCCCCTTTGACCTCCCCCAATCCATTTTCTGCAGCATCTGAATTTTACTTATCCTGTCCTTCCACTAGAGATTCATTTAGATTAATAACCAATCTATCATTCATTTTCCTAGTTCTTTGGTTTTATTTAAAAGTTACTAGACAGATGAAAAATTCCAAGTACATATTTTTAAAAGCTAAGTAGTACTAAAGAGGTTGTAATGAAAAGCAACAACCCCCACCTCACAGACCAACTGCTAAGAGGCTTCTGATTTCAGCTCCTCAACTGTTTCCCTGATATTTATCTCTGTTTCTAAACAAAGTATGTATAATGAGATTTCTTGATCTGTGGATTTAAAGTTAGTATCTATTGATTTATTGCCATATTAAATCCTCCCACGTCCCACCTCCCACTCCTCTCAGTGTACTTACATCACATATTTTGATCGACTCTACAGTCAGTGCATATATTACGGTGATTATGCACAGTGCATATAATTACGGAAATATTGTTCACTGCAGAGCCAAGTAGTACACTCTGACATTGCCCTCTTTCTTGTATAACTCTTTATTTTTGCTTGAAGTTCAAAATCATTCCATTTCTGTTATTTATTTTCTTTTTTAAATGATAAAGTGCTCATTTTTTAGTGTCTTGTGACCTCTTTTTTTTTTAAGTGCTTCATCTCTTATACAGACTTGTCAATGACATTTTCTACCTAGCCCAAGCACATTCATTGCCTTTTTTTCTTTTCTGGGAAGCTTGCTCCTGGAGCGCTCCGTCCCCTGACCCGGTGAGGACTGGCCGTCTCTCGGCCTGCTGCCCGGCGATCACCCGCCCCGGCAACGGCACTCCCGCCGCTGGATTCCCTCTTTCTTCAATTTTGTGCCTTCCTCTCTTTCTTGGTTTTCACCTTTGATTGCAATAGCACATCCTCCAGAACCTTTTGGAATAAAGGGTACATAAAGACAACTTTTTGAAATCTTGCATATCTGAAAATAGTTTTATTCTACCTTATACTTGACTGAGTTTCCCTGGATTGGTGTGGAATTTTAGGTTGATATACATTTTCCTTCAAAATTGTGGAGTTTGTTTCATTTTCTTCTGACTTCCAATAATGCCAGTTTGATTCCTAATCCTTTGTCTATTATCTACTTTTTTTAGGGAGATAGTAAGGTCTTCTCTTTATCCTTAGAGTTCTGAAGAACTCTTGGGTTTTTTAAGTTTATACAAAAGATGTGCCCTGGTATGAGCCTTTTTCCCAATCATTTTGTTGCTCACTCAGTGGGACCCTAAGCCTTTTATCCTTTCATTGTAAGAAATATTTTTATTATATTTCTTTACAATTTTTTTCCCTCCATTTTTGGCTGGTGGTGGGACTTCCCTATAATTTTCTTATCTTTCATATTTTTCGATCTATCATTTTGCACTATTTTCTGAAGTTTGCATCAACTATCGTCTATCTTTTCTTTTTTGAATAATTTATTCAAAAACATTGTATTCTTTAACAGCCAAAAACCCTTTCTTGTTCTGATTGTTTATATTGTAACTTCTCTTCTTTCATGGGTAAGATATCTCTCGGAGGCTATAAATTATATGACCTTTAAAGTTTTGTTCTG